TTTAGGGGAAAATTTGCGGGAGGCGCACTTCGATCCCAAGCTTGCAAAGCTTGCCCTGGTGGAGAAGGGTATAGAAGAGAAGTACAAGTGCTGCAACAACCTGTTCCGTAGCAACCTGAAGTTCATGGTGGACCCCAATGCTGCTCTTGCCTGTGTTATTGACTGTTATTGGATTTGCTTGAGGTTGTTCTGATGCATCCTTACTGACTCAGTCAGTTAAAAGTTAGTTGTTTGTAGTCACTTCGTTGCATGCGACAAGGTTCCCATCAGGCAGAGTGCGGTGGACAGCATCATTGCCTACTACTATGAATCGCCCTCGGTTTTCCAGGAGACCTACGAATGCGTAGTTAGTCAACAGTGGGCAAGTGATACTGCACGCATGAAGACGAATGCGACCGATGTGCACCCGATTGTCCCAATCGAGCACATCATGGCTTTCGTGTTGTGTCTCAGCAATTTCAGTTTTATACCGACGCCTAAGCCGAAAGACTAGAACTCTTCGACCCTGAGCCTTGAATCCTAAAGCTCTAAATCCCAAACCCTTAATCCCTAGTACACCCAAACCCCTGAACCCTAAACCTTCCTTAAACCCGCCAGGTCGCAAACCCTTAAATCCAAAACCCTTGAGCCCTGAACCCTAAACCTTAATTAAACCCGCCCAGGTCCCAAACCCTTAACTCTAAAACCTAATTTTAATAGACCCTAAACTTAAACCCTGAACCCTAAACCTCAATTAAAAACCGCCGAGGTCCCAAACCCTTAACCTCCAAAACCCGAAAAGCCCGAACCCTAAACCTTAATTAAACCCGCCAAGGGCCGCACGCCGCGATTTGCATGATGAGGAGAAAATGAAGGCGTGGAAATTCGCTTTCCTGACGGCAGCATGGCTTACTGATTCTGTTGTGTTCTTCTGCACGTTTCATGTCCAAGCTAGATGTTGTCTGAGGTCAGCTTTTCCTACCATGTCTGCGGTGATGCTGACAAGTTCTGGCTTGCTCAAAATGCCCGACAATCCAAGAAACACCAGGACCTCACGATGACCCTCACGTGCCTTCAGAAGATCTATAGCGTCCTCAATCATAAGGCCCGCCTCGAGCGTGCCAATGGAGGCAAGGAGATGAGCAGCCTGACAGGTTTATTTGCTAAGGGTTTTGGCATTGTAGTTTTCAACCGACTGGGTTTACAATAGAGTTTAAATTTAGGGATGAATGAGCACAACAAAGGTGTGGAGGAGTTCTGCAAACTCTATGAGGAGAACTTCAAGCATGCGAGCGAGAATGAGAGGGTCCCGTGGACTCAATTGTCATTCAAAATCCATTACATGTGTAGATCCCGTGTCGACATGACAAGAGAATCCTTACTTCAATCGAACACGGGGCCTGAGGTCAGTGATAGCTTCGTTGACACGGCCCTGACCATGGGAAAACGCGCTGCTCGTTTGAATTCTGAAGCATGATGTAGTTACTCTGTTGTTTCGGGTTTAGGGTTTAGGGGAATGTTTGACATTACAATCATCATGTCTCCTAGGTCCTGAAGGATGAGAAAATGGCGGCTTTGTTGCTCAAAGCGGATGAGCATCCCAAGGGCAGCCCGTTTGATCACTACACGAAAATGCAGCTTCTGATTCAGAAGGGCAAGTCGGAAGAAGGGATCCGTTGGGCCTTCTCGTCAGTGAGCCCCCGCAGCAACCAGAATACGTGTCATGCAAAGTCACAAAAACCCTAAACCAATCCGTAAACTTTGAACTCTAAGAAAATACTATCTAGGCCTAGACCCTTTAGATTCCCGATTGAAAGAACATGCTTAACAGTCCCTGACTTCAACTGAGGTGGGATGGCTACTTGAACAAGTGGCTTGGGAACGAGTTCCTGTCTCAGCGAGCCCTGAAAGGTGACAGTTTTCCAGGAGGGACCGGAGCCTTATTGGTTGGAACACTGGAGATGAAGAAGATGCTGCTAACGAGCTCCATCGGGTTGCTAGGCTGTGCTTACTATTAATTGCAGCTCCGACGTTGAAACATGGCAAGTCTACTACTTACTTAGTGCATCCCCAAGGAAATTCGCTTGGGACAACTCCGTGAAAAGCAAAATGCTGGAAGTTCTCGAATCCCACGAGTCCTATCGAAAGCACGAGCCCCAGTAATGAAGTGAGCTGGGGCCCTTGAACCCAAAACCCTAAACCCTAACCCTAAATATTAAACCCTGAACCCTAAACATCCCTAAACCGTCAGGCACTGTGGAAACAAGGGTGAGATGGTGGACCTCACGTGGCGTGCAGGCACGGCAGGCGGGCCCAAAGCTGCATAATTCTTGGCTGACCTGCGACAAGGTTGGCCAAGATCAGCCATCATGTTCTTCGAGCATGTGGAGGCTTCATTGAGTGGGGCTACACCGATAAAGAAGCCCAGGCAATAAACCCTAGGACTTAAACTAAACCACAATTCACCCTAAACCCTGAACACCTAAGCCCTAAATTAAAGCCCTAAAGCCGCATGATCTTTGCCAGGCTTGCTGCTTCTCAGAGGCGTACTTAGGGACGTACAAGCAGTTGCTGAAGAACCGAAAACAGGCGGGGCGCTGGTTACTTTTTCTTACTCCTGGTCCTAATCCTCCGAATTGCAGGTGGTGGACTGGGTCGACCATCAGGATATCGACAAGCCCTTCATGGCCGCACTGGAGTCGGCAACTCAGTATATAATCTATTATTTGAAAGTCCAAGTCTCTTGCTCTGAGGAGGTATGAAGAAGAGCAGCAAGAGAAAGAGCAAGAGGCGGGGATCGTTTCTTTTAATGTCACAGCCTCAATCCTAAACCCAAAATCCCAAAGCCCTCACATTACTTAACATTCGAAAATAAAAGGGGTGCCTTAAGTAAAGCCAATAAACCCTACCGATTACCCTGAACCCCGGAAAAAAACCTCAACCGTAGCTTCGGAACTCAAGCTCATAAACCGAAAACTACACTTAAAGTAGGGGCGCCATTGCACTCGAAAAAAGGCCTAAAACCCTAAACCCAAAACCCTAAACCCCAAACCCTAAACCCCAAACCCTAAACCCCAAACTCATGGGCTCTGGTTGGTGATCACTGCCGCAATGACGTTGTCTGCCACGTTGTAAGGCAATGCTAGCCCCTGTTAGTGCCTCTGCCGTTGTAGCCGGGACAGGGCTTGCGGGGCCGACTGGAGCCGCGCAGTGATGAAAGACATTCTCGATGTCCATGCAATTGTTCTGTCGAGGGTCGGCCGGCCCGCAGGCGTTCAGCCTGTAGCGTCCATCGTGTTCATAAAGGCCGTCGTTTCGGCTCCACTTGCAAAGCGCTAGGCCGTGGGGCTTAGGGTTGGGCTTAGGGTTGGGCTTTCGGGTTTACGGGTTTCGCCTACTTCAGCTTCAGATACCCCCCAAAACCCTAATGTCTAAACCCCCCTCTGAACCCTTTTAAACCCAAAACCTGCCTCTCTCAGTTTACTGAGATCCGTAGCCCCCGCGATCCTGGGGATCGTTAAGCCTAAAGTACAAATTAAACACGTCAATCCGAAGCGCCAATCCTGAAACAATCAGTCTTAAGTCCAAACCGAACACTTAATTGCCCGAACCATAATAAACCCCAAACCCTTAGGCCTCAGATTCTGGGCCCATGACTGAGCCTGCTTCAGCCTCAGATACCTGAACCACGGTACTACTCTATCCTAAACTTAATTTAGCCCCCTTAGCCCGAATTAATCCCAAACCTGGCTCTCTGAGTTTATTGAGTTCCTTAGCCCCCATGTAGTAAGGAACAAAACTGTTATCCGAAGCGCCAATCCTGAAACAATCAGTCTCTAAGTCCAAACCGAACACTTAATTTGCCGGAACCCTAGACCCCAAACCCTTTAGGCCTCAGAGTCTGATCCCATAATTAGCCTGCCTCAGCTTGGAATACCTGAACCAGGGTACTACTGCACCTAAACCCTAAAACCTAAGCCCCCTTAAACCCTGAGCCCTCAACCTGGCTCTCTAATTTTATTGATTTCCTTAATGTAATAAAAAAAAGGTTATCCGAAGCGCAATCCTGAAACAATCCGTCTCTAAGTCCAAACCGAACACTTGACTACTTGAACCCCAAACCCTTTAGGCCTCAGATTCTGATCCCATAATCAGCCTGCTACTAACATAAAACCCTAAACCCTTAATGTAATTCGCCCGCCTAAACCCTAATTAATAAACCCGTGCCGTCCCTAGACCCTGCGGACAGGGCAAAGAAGAGCAGGAAGATGCAGAAGAGGAAAAACAGGACCTGGACGTCAAGGAGGAGCAGGATGAGCACGCTCACCTCAAGGCGTGCATTTTTTTCATTCAGGGATGTTTAATTAAATTAGGCTTACTTAGGGCTTTCAATTTAGGGTTTAGGCCTGCAGCTACGTCGGCATGCAGTTGTCTTCTGTCTTCTTATGGGACTGGATTACTCTCACCTCTGCAGGCTTTCCTCTCAAGCACAGCAGACAGAGTCGGGTGAAGACATAGATATGGAGACACCAAGGCGGCCGAAGAAGATGGCACATGGGTCAGAAGCATCCTTTGAGTTTTCCTCCCTTACCAATGCCGAAGACTCCTTTGAGTTTTCCTCCCTTAGCGCCCCTCCCACGCCTCCGGAGTGCTTCCTCGAGAAAAAGGATGCTGGGGCCATTGACGAGAAGCCGAATGCACAGAAGCGTCCTGCAGCAAATACCTCCGGTAGGATCCCTCGTACGCCTTGGGAGCACTTCATCATGGATAAGATCTCGGATAAGCCGCCGAATGCACAGAAGCGTCCCGCAGCCCAGCCGAAGCAGCAGAAGGAAATCAAGAAAGGCAAGCCGGCGGCCACTGTCAAGAAGAACCAGAGAATGAAGCGACCCGCATGTCAGCAGCCGTAGTCATGTGCCGGCAAGACAGGAAGCAACGCTGATGCCAGGGCGGAAGAAAACAAACTTGGAGTGGTGCCTGTCTTCAGTCCACTGTTTCTTTGGATTCCGTTGTTCACTCAAACCTCTCACTCTCAGCTGTTTCTCTCTCTGCCTCTGTCACTCTCTCTATCTCTCGGTCTCTCTCTGTCTCTCTCTGTCTAAATGTCATCCCAGCCAGAAATAACGCCCAAAATCCCATGCTCATGATAGCCCCCTCACTTTAACTTAGTTACAAAAATACATGCAAGCGTTTTAGGGTTTAGCGTTTTTAGGGGCTTCAGGGTCTTTTGGGTTTATGGGTTTTAGGGCTTTTTGGCTTCAGGGTTTAGGGGTTTAGGGATTTTTGGCTTCAGGGTTTAGGGGTTTAGGGATTTAGGGGTTTAAAAATGTAGGGGTTTAGGGTTTACGGGTTTGAGGGTTTTAGAGTGTTTAGGGTTCTTTAAATAAAAGGTTTGTAGGGCTCAAGGGTTTTAGGGTTTTTGGGGTTTAGGGTTTAGGGGTTTAGGCTTTGGAATAGAGGGCTTGGGAATGTAGGTTAGGGCTCCTGAACCCAAGCCAAATAGCCCCCACTCCACATTGGTTGACTACCCTTAAACCCAGAAATTATATCCCTAAAACCCTTAAATTATTAAACCCTAAAAACCTTAAAAACCGTAAAAACTCTAAAACCCCCAAACCCCTAAACCACTCAACCCCAAAGCCCTGAACCGAAACCCTAGACCCCTAAACCCTTCAACCCCTAAACCCCTAATTAAACCCTAAACCCCTAAACCCTAATACCCCTAAACCCTCAACTTCTCAGGTCAAAGCTGATGCCTCTGGAAAGAAGCCTATGCCCACCCTGGATGATGAGAACACTCGGAAACTGGCCATGCCACTAGGCATTAAAGAAGCCTAACCCTTAGTAGTCCAAATCCCAAATAACAACAGACACTGCAGCCCAGGTACAGGGAGAAGGCTGTCAAGACCGTGCGCACGCACGTCCTCCTGGTGAAGGAGGAGCTGAAATCGGAGGAGATGATCAAGGCATTGCAAAAGACTAGTGCTTCAGAGTTCCGCGGCGAGACTTTGCAAGTCATGCATGAGAGCCCCGGTTGATATTTACAGCATCTAACTTAATTTCATAGTCTCAAGCAAGCATCTTTCACACTCTGAACGGCAAGGACTGTGATTACAAAGTCCTTTGTGATCTGGTTTGAGCCTTGGCTTATTTAATAATGCAAAGCTTCAGGGCCTAATTCAAGGTTGGGTTTCGTGGGCTTTGGGCTTAATGGTTTCAATACCCGACCTAGGACAGTAAAGTGGCGGGGGAGGCTGAGACGCAACCGAATGTGAGAGTGCCCTCCCTACGGGACGGCCGCCTGCCCAAGCTGATGTCCGCGGCCCTCTCGCAGCGCATCCAGGGTGGCAGCCTGCCAGCCAGTGATGTCATTATCATGATGGACGGGGGCCGTGAAGGCAGGATTCACATCCTAAACAACCCTTCCGTCCCTGAACGAATGAACCTTAAGCCCTAAACCCTGAAAACCCCGAACCTTAATTAAACATTTTGGGGTATACTACTTTAGGTTGTATTTCCGATGAGAGTGTTGGGCTTTCTTATTATATTTCTCATGCTAAGCTGTCAGGCATCCAAGCAGCCCTCCTGAGCAGCATCAAAACCCCCGAGGGGGACGCTGTTCCCAAGTCGAAAACATCAATCATTTTGCATCATGATGAGAAATCCCACCGGCAGCGACGGCAGAGGGACAAGGGCCACGTGATGCAGAATGCAGAGAAATGCTTCCTGATCACGTCGCATGACGGAGCAATGATCCCCTACAGGGATCGCCTCCACTATTCTTCGACAACCCGCGGGGAAGTGATGGGGCCCATTCCCGCGGCAAGCTGGGAAGCACCTTAATTACCATGGTTTGGAGGTTTGCCTGAGCCACCAAACTTGAAGCCTTGTGTGACCGAGCTAAGGATGAGGATGAGTCCTGGTTGGTCACGGTTCAAGACAAGAAGAAGATGTATGGGAATCAGAGGATTCCCATTGGGGGCCGTTCTGAGGGAGATGAAAAGGCTAAGAGCCAGGG